AAGCCACCCAGTCTGTGATACTTTATAACAAAAGGTCAAACAAACTAGTACAGAGCCCCATTTCCTCAAGATAGAAACCTGAAAAGTAATTTTCCTGCTTCCTTTGCAACCAGAGCACAGGCAGGTGACCTCAGTTCCACCCATTAGAGGCCACAGAGGTAGACTTTGGCTCAGACATGAGCAATGTGAGAACACAGGCTAAGTGTGGATTCCATTGGTCTGGGGAGGGTGGCAGTAAAGACATCTGCCTGTTGAGGGTGGCAGTCGCTGCATGTCAGACTTGCAGAGCAGACGTGGGTGGCTTTCACCCAGGCAGGGGATGGTCTGTCACAGTCATATATGCACTCAGGACTTGGTAGTATCAGAGTGGGAGGCACAGGCTTTTTATTTTATTTTATTATTATTTTTAAACCAGGCAAATCCTGTGTCATTGTGCATGGTGTTAAATGTCATTTCTGAAAGCTTAGCCTAGAGCTGTTTCTCCAACCTACCCAAGGAGTTTATAAGCTGTCCAATACCCTTTTAATAAACTCCTTTTGCTTAATCCACCAGAGTCAGCTTCTGTTGCTTGCAATGAATGACTCTGACAGATCCACATTCTGATGACCTGATGTGTCCCCATCTCCATAGCTTGCCTCTTCTCATACTTGATTCAGCCTGTAGTTGCTGGGACCAATGGTGTCCTTATGCAATTTAATTTGCTCAGGTGGTTCACCATCAAATTGGCCATTCTTCCATCTAGTCCCCCTCTGATCACAGGCTCTGCTTGTGGTAACTTCATTTCTAGCTGTTTTGTAACTAAGTCTCTATCCTGTACTCCATGGTTGGTTCTATGTCTTATCCCTACATCTTATCCCTACATCCCTTATCCCTTATCCCTACATCCCTTCCTTATAACCTGGGTGAGATTCAAAAGGAAGTAGATTTGAAATTAATATAACTCAACCCCAAACTGGGCCTCATGTTGGCAATTCATGCCAACCTTGGCAAAGAATTGCACTCTAAGGAACACAGTCCAGCAACCAAAAGCAATTAAATTAAATGAAAATTATACTGGTATCTCTGGAAAGAATATCAAGGGAAATAACTATATGTTTAAATGTACAGTAAGACTTAAACATTTCCCCATCTCTGATATTCTCTATATTCCTCAACTCATCAAACTTTTCTCTCTTCCACTCTGATTCTAAACCCAGAATTACTTCCATACTCTGATTTTGCGGGCTCCTTTTTTTCTCTCTTCTACCTTTTCTTCTACATTAATCATTCCTATTTTTATCATTTGAGAAAGAATTGGCTGATAATGAGAACTGCTCAGTGATGGAATGGGCTGCCTTATTAGGTAGTGATTCTCCTATCACTGCGAAATCATACCAAGGCTGATGCTCACTGCTCAGGTCAGGGACATTGTGGGAGGGTTCTGGTTCTGGGCAATGTTAGATCAGATGATTTATAAGCTCCCACTATATCTTAGATCTCAGGTTTAGGGTTATGTCTCTGTTTTAAACTGGGCCACAGTATTGGGATTGAATTAACACTAACTTTTCCCCTCTTTAGAAATCTCTTTGCCAGTAATGGGGAGTCCTGGCCCCTGAGCTTGATCCAACTCTTGTCTTGGTTTCAATTTCTTTGAGAAAAGTTGATCTTTTCAGCATTCCTGCCCTTTCTGCTATAATCAATGAGCACAAGGACATGTGCGTTTAAATGCCTCAGATGCCCCATCAGGGTGTCAACTTCACAACCTAGCTGTGCCAGACCCTTGCTTGAGGACTCTTTGTTTTGCTCGGAGACAGCATTTTCCAGGGAAGAGATGGGCACTGGCAGATGCTGGAGTAGAGGGAGGCAGTAACCAGGAGCATGGATTTCCCAGGTGAGGGGATGGAGCAGGTTGGTGGACTTGCACTCTGGGGCAGCAGTGCTGTGGGAGAGGGAGTGCACGCACTTAGGGGAAGGTGGCTCCGCTGTGAATCTGCTGCTCACACACAGGAATATTCGTTGGGACCCGTTGGGTTGCAAGTGACAGAATTCAAACTGGTTTGAAAAAAAATTCAAAGGGGAGAGGGGTTTCTTGGCTCCCCAAACTGGGAAGAGCAGGCATTGCTGTGTCCAAGAAGTCCAGGGACTTGTGAAACCTTTCTTGCCTCTCCCGGAGTCTCTTTCTGTCTCCCTACCCTTAGCGCCTCCTTCTATGTTACTTCATTTTCAGTCCCAGTGGGAGAAAATCTTCTTTCTGAATAGCTTGAGTTAAATTCTCAGAGTTGAATTTCACTGGCCTGGGTGAAATCACGTATTTGCCCCCAAACCAGTCTTGGTGGCTGTGGGATAGATTATGCTGAGTGGCCACTTTCCCCAAAGGAAAAGTGAAATTCTGTTACCCAAGACAGGGAAATGGATCCTGGACTGACAGAAACAGCTCACATCCACTACAATGTAATATTAGCAGTTAGTGATGTCTCTGAGCCCAGTTTCTTCCTGGGTAAAATCCCCACTTCATAGAGCTGTGGGGAAGACTGTAAATCATAAATGCATAGCACCTGTCACATAGCAGGCCTTCGATAATTAGCAGCAATTCTTATTGTTAGGTGCAGAGAACCAGCTGGCACGAGGGAGAATTTTACCCAATGGGAAGATGTAAGTGTGTATGTGTGTGCATGTGTTTGTGCACGTTTGTGTGTCCGTGTGTGCACTCCTGCGTTAGCTATCAGGAGGAGCAGGTGAATAAGCCTTGGTTTCTACCATAACGACCTTTCTTTTCCTTCCCCCTTTGCTCTCTCACTGTTTTTCCATCTTTCTTTCCCACCCATCCACTCCCTCCCCACCTTCTTTTTCCTTTCATTAGCCATATATACATTCATATATATATAAAAAACAACACGGTATTTTCTTATTTGTGACATGAATTAAATTTTTTTTACATATTGACTTTATAAAATGATTTGAGATATACACACAAATATATGCTGTGGAATAATACAAATAGCTGCAGAAATTGGAATGGAGGGAATAAATAAAGAGAAAGTCAATTTAGAAAACAAAATATATGCCACCCTATCTTATATAGTTGCTACAGGTGAGCTCTATTTACTGAAAATAAAGCTTCATGTTCTCTAGTCGTAATTTAAAAATGGAGCAAGTTGCAAATTTTCTGTTTTCTCCAAAACAAGCCAAGCAATAAAGTCAGTTTTACGTGACTGTGCATGTGTGGCTTTTGATCTTGTCCATGGGACAGTGGCTCTTGATAGTAAAAAGGTCCCACCCTAGTTTATAGGGACCAGAGAGGGTGCTAAAGACAAATCAAGATGGGGGGCTCACCAGCCTCCAGGCAGGCAGGAGAAAGGAAATAGCAAATGTCTCTTCTGAGGTCCATAGACTTTTAGAGAGGAAAGAGATTAGTACAATGGAGGTATCTGTCGGAATGAAAATATAAGTATAGATGAAGAGGAAAATTTGCCTTGTTAAAGCCTAGCTTCCCAAAGAATTAGATACATGAATTTGCTTCTGTGCTGAGGCCATCTGTGGCCATCAGACTAGCTGCTTTCTGGCTGATACTTTTTGGGAATGTTATGTTGCTGAGAAAGATAGTTCCACGTCAGAGCTATCAACAGAATGTGGCCATCTGGACAACCATGTATAAACCAACTTATTGCTTCTTGAATGCCACCTACAAACATGACTACCTGTCCTTTCTTGTTTGAAGGGGCACCAACAATACTTGGGAAGATGGAAAGTGAACTGGACACTAAGGCAGAGATGAGGAATTCGGCCTTGCTTCCTGCACTCCATGGAAAAGGGAGGAGGAACACTAGCTGGGAAAGCTGTTGAGCTGGAGCTGTGGATGGTCTGATGGGAAGAGGATGTGCACAGACAAGAAGCAGGAAGAGAGGTTTGGGTATAAAGTTAAGCCATAGGTTACCAGATTGCAAAGGACCTTAGCCCGACTCTAAACATGATGCCAGAGCCCATGAGAGTGCATGAGGGTATATGCTTATTATCTACTGTCATGTCGTCATGGGAGAGTGAAAGAAGGCTCTACCGATCTCAAAACTCACCTGACCCCTCATGCCCTGGCTGAGTCTGGGGGATCTTCTCTGGGCTTTGCCCTCCTCTTCTATAAGTGGGGACCCTAATCCTTGCCTCAAGTCCTTCGTGGGGCTGTTGTGGGAATTCCTTTATTTAGAAAGAACTCGCCAAGGTCCGACCACACATTCAGCACTGGGTCAGACACTTCGGGGGAATAGGGAACAAGGTTAATTCTCAGCCTTTATCCTTAAAGAACAGATATGATGGATTTTCAAGAGTGGTTAGGGGCTGGGTGTGGTGGCTCATGCCTGTAATCCCAGTACTTTGGGAGGCCAAGGCGGTTGGATCACCTGAGGTCAGGAGTTCGAGACCAGCCTAGCCAACATGGTGAAACCCCCCCCCTCTACTAAAAATAAAAAATTCGCCGGCCGCGGTGGCTGACGCGTATAATCCCAGCTATTAGGAAGGCTGAGACAGGAGAATATCTTGAAGCCAGGAGGTAGAAGTTGCTTGTGAGCTGAGATTGAACCACTGCACCTCAGCCTGGGTGACAGAGTGAGACTCCATCTCAAAAAAAAAAAAAAAAAAAAAAGAGAAAAGAGTGGTTAGGGGTGTTTGTAGATGAGTTACACAGACTGAGTAGGTAACCCACCCAGCCAGGCCTGGACTCAGTCCTGCTCTGCCCCTCACTGGCCAGGCTGGGAATCTCCTTTCTGGGCCTCACAGACAAAACAAATGGGTGGGAGTAGTTGCTGTAGGGTGTCTCTTCAAGGTCCGGCCTATGCTAATCTGACCATTCAAATCCTCCTGAGGCATAGAGTAAGAACAAAAGCTGACACCTGGAGGTGCTAGGTTTTTAATTATGGCAAAGCCGGGTATCTTCTCCACCCCAAAACCAAGGGTTCTTCAAAGTGCTGTGACCTTCCAGGTTGGAGCTGTGTGAAAGCAGCCGGGTGTTCTAACCCTGGCTGTCTGCGTCTGGTGCTGGGGGGGTGGGGGGCGCTGGCCTGTCCTGATCCGTGAAGGTGTGAGCCTGATCTGCTGGCTTCGCTTGCAGGGGGACAGGGGAACTGGCTAGTGTCCTGGTATCAGGTGGAGGGTGTGTCACTGTGGGCAGTGGGTGCCTCTGCCTTTGGCACCGGCTCCATCTTTGTTGTTTTTCTCTTTGGGGGTCTGATCAAGGCAGCTGGAGACTCAGGGAGCCTTTCCACAGCCAAGTGTTTTCATTTTTGTCTTGGCTGGGCTCCTGGTGCTGTCACTCTCAGTGGCCGCGGGCAGGCTGGTGTTTCAGGAATGTTCTGCGTACCCCGCAGGTCTTCTCCAAGAGCCACCTAAGGGGAGAGTTGAGGGCATTCCCCAAACTGGCACCCACCCTGCTGCTGACCCACAAGCCAGAGGCAAATTCCCGCACCTCGCCCTTCTCACAGCTTGTGCAGTCCACCTAAAGCCCAGAAGCTCCCCAGGCGTCCCCGCTTTAAGACAGTGTAAAGAAAAACAGGTGCCCACTGGTCTAGTCACATCCCCTATAAAACGGTTGGAGTCTCTGTTTTTTGTGGGGAAACAGCAGAGGGGGGTTGGACTAATTAGTTTCCTCCCAGGAATCTGATTAAGGGAAGGTTAAGCAGTGTGGGAAAGAAAAGGGAACCACTATGAAGAAATGTCACCAAGGAGAGGGTTTGAAAGTTAATGGCAGCCCGGGGGCGGAGGAGCGTCCTGACCCAGGCAGTGTTCCAGTAGGGGCTGGCGGCCACCTTGGGGAGGAACGTGCACAGAGGTAACTAATCAACTCGGCAGAGGTTGGAGTAAAAAACCTAGAAGGTTGGCATTGACTCTGAAATTGTTGCAAAGCTGAGATCCAGGCGAGAGGGCAGCTTTTCCTCCCGTCTCTACTGTCATTATTAGCCAGACACAAGATTTTGACTCTTATAAATGCCTCTCTACTCCTTTCTTAAAAACACCTTTTTAAATATGGTAAAATACACATAACATAAAAGTTGTCATTTTAACCGCTTTTAAGTGTACGGTTCAGTGGCATTAAGCACATTCATGTTGCTGTGCAATCAGCACCATCTATCTCCGGAATGTTTTCATCTTCCCAAGCTGAAACTCCATACTCGTTAATTACTCCCCGATCTCCCCTTCTCACCCCCCTTACTTTCGTTTCCATGAGTTTGACCATTCTAGGCACCTCGTGTAAGTGGAATCATACAGTATTTATCCTTTTGCAACTGGCTCATCTCACAGCGGCTTCAGGGCTCGTGCATGTGGTAGTCTTTGCCAGAATTTCCTTCCTTCTGAAGACGGAAGAGTATTTCATTATGTGTCTATAGCACATTTTGTTTATCCACTTGTCTGTTATTGGACATTTAGATTGTTCCCGCTTTTTGGCTATTGTGAATCATGCTCCCGGGAACATAGGTGTACAAATATCTGTTTGAGTCCCTGCTTTTAATGATTTTGAGTATATACCCAGAATTGGAATAGCTCGATTACATGGTAATTCTATGTTTAATTTTTTGAGGCGCTGCCGTGCTGTTTTCCACAGCAGCTGCACCATTTTACACTCCCACCAGCAACACACCAGGGTTCAGGGCCTCTCCTCTTAATGAGCCCCCTTTTTTCAGTACCCTAGCACTCAGAGGAAGTCTGATAAGAGACGCCCCATTGTATTTGCCTCTGCCTGCACCACCAAAAGAGAGACAGAAGGGCAGTCAGCTCCATCTGGCCTCAAATGCCAGGAAGCTGGAAGGTGAATAACCCTGGAAGATGCCAATTCCTGTTAGTAGTAGCATTACACATTTTAAAGGAAGGGCCCAGTCACCATCACAAACGTAGAAGAGAAGAGACGTGGGTCTTCTTTATTTCCGTTCTAAGAAGCACCCGTGGCTCTTTAAGGCAAAGTTTGTTAATTTCATATGTCTCTTTCAGTGCAGGTATCAGTATTTGTGCTTTTGTTTTGTTTTGTTTTGTTTCCTCTTACAGGCCCTAACAGAGCCAAACACATCTTCAGGACCCAACATTTATTGAACACTTACTATGCACCAGGCATTGTAGAAGTCCTTTAAGTTCATCTCCTCCTGAATCCTCTTTAACATTTGGAAGGCGTGTGTCCCAAGAGTCACTGGAATCAAAAATACCTCTGTGGCCTAACCTCCCTCCCCCATAAAATGCAGTAGAGTATGACCAAAGATTCAAGTGAGCACCGAAGACCCTTAATGAGAGTTTCTGAGAATGCAACAATAGGAGGACAATAAACATCCATGTAGATTTGGAGGCTGAACTTTTGAACTCTGTCTGACCTTAGGCTGTGTGCCTTTTATTTTCCTGCTTAATGAATCTTCACTGATTATCTTGCTTCTGCAATGACTCAAGGTTATGTCAATTAGCTGTTTCCTAGCCTGAGTCTTCTGCCTAATTGTCAACTCAATTTAAGACAAAGATCTAAGCAGTGAGTTTATTCTTATTCCTCTCTGGAGTCGCCAAGGGGTTATGGAGCTGCCTTCCCGGACCCAGAAGGGAAAAGCATTTCTCTCTGCTTTCTGGACAGGTAGGTCCATCTCTGGCACCCTTGATTTGGTAGATGTGGTTCGTATTCACTCTTCCTCCCTGGCTCTGATCTTTACCCTCTGTCTTTGCCTGGGTCTCCCAAGGGCACGTAAAATCTGTCTTCCTAAGCATCCTGGCATCTCCTATGTCCGTGGTCATCAGGGGCATCCTGGCCTCCCAAGCCTTCAACCTTGGAGTCACCTTTGACTGCTTCCTCTCTTGGACTGTTCCTTTCAGAATGGGCTCACAATTCTATCTCTGGGATCTGACCTTCTCCAGCCGATGACACAGCCAAGCCTCCCGCGGAGTCCAGGCTCCGATCTCCTCACACGCTGATTTTTGGAGCAGCCTCCTTCCTGGAGAGTGTTTTCACCTGCAGCCTCACCCCTCCTGGTACATTCTATAACCAACAGCTAGGCTAATTTTCTCCGAGTGCTATTTTGATTTTGTCACTCGTCCATTCGGAAATCGGCAGGAGCTCCCATTTGCCTCCTACCTTTAATCTAAACTCCTCAGCATGTGTTTGAAGACCTTTGTAAACTTACATTTAACTACCCTCATCTTCTGCAAACTTCTGGCTTCTCATCTTAGCTCATAGCACATAGGTTGCTAGCTTTGGGGCACAGCTCTCCCCTTACCGCTATGAGTCATGTCTATCCCTATTAAGACACAACAAAGATATTATGAGCAGGTACCTCGCCAGTTTTGTTTGACATTACATCCCTATGTCTTGGCTTGCCACGTAATAGGTGCTCAATAAATATTCGTTGAATGAATGAATGTTAAAGACACATCTCTTTGAATAACACTCCTTGCATTAATCAACACACAATGAAAGACTTTGAGCTAAGTGTTTAGGCCACAAAATGAATAAGCTTCTTCTCAAGGAGCTTGTATTTTAGACCTAGAAACATATGCCACATTTCCTTGATTATAAGATGGATCGAGGCCAGGCATGGTGGCTCATGCATATAATCCCAGCAGTTTGGGAAGCCAAGGCCGGCAGATCACTTGAGGTCAGGAGTTCGAGACCAGCCTGGTCAACATGGTGAAATTCTGTCTTTAGTAAAAATACAAAAATTAACAAGGCGTGGTGGTGGGTACCTGTAATCCCAGTTACTGGGGAGGCTGAGGCAGGAGAATTACTTGAACCCGGGAGGTGGAAGTTGGAGTGAGCTGAGATTGCACCACTGTACTCCAGCCTGGGAGACAGAGCGAGACTCTGTCTCAAAAAAGAAAAAAAAAAAAAAGATGGATTGATTGTAAGATGCAGTGGTAATTTAAAAGGAGATTTTGGGGATAAAAGAAACATTACCACTTTATACAAAATGAATGTTGAGCCTTCATTTCAGAAACTTTGAAATGTGAAAAATACAATACATCATAGAATGGAAAAAATAAAGTGCTGCAATATGGGGCTTTGGTGCTGTAACAGAGGGATGCACAAGATTCAGGGGAGGGATCTTTTGTACTCTGTCTGAGCTGGGTCTTGATTGGTTTCCCAGGTAAGCTGGGGACGGAAGTAGACATCAGCAGGCTTTGAACGTTCACATTTCTACCTCTCAAAGCTGTGTGGCCTGAGACAAATGACTTAATCTCTTTTAGCCAAGTTTCCCCTTCTGTGAAATGGAGATAATAATAGAACCTACCTAGTCTCCAGTAGCTGCCATTTACCAAGCAGCTGCTATGTACCCAGCCTGGGCCAAGTGCTTTACATGTATCTTATGTAATCTTCAGTCATAGAAACTGTTAACCTAATCCTGGTGTATAGGAAGCACTCACCAAATGGATTGATTTAGTGGATATGAGTTTTGGTTGTTGTAGATGTGGCGTCTGCCTGTTTGGTGTTCATTCACCCTTTTTCTGGTAACAGCGCTCAGAATAGAATACCCTTTGGGGAAACACCTTTCCCACCGTCAGTCCACATTGGTGGGGCTGCTCCCTCTGCCCCTCCTTATGGGGCCCAAGGGTGGATATATGACCCCATCTTGGCCAATGAGACTGTTGAATTTCTAGGCAGCAGTGATTGGTTCAGAGACGGTGCCTGACCCCAGGCTGTTGGAACTATTCTGTCTGCTGGATTTGGTAGATTAGTGGGACCTGAGTTTGAAGCAGCAGGGGGCATCTTGTATGATACCCTGAGCACCTGGCTAATGGGAGGGCTGGCAGGAAGGAGATGGATCCTAAGGGGGCATTCGGATTCAGCTGCACCGGTTCACCCCCAAGGCTTTTCAGGGAACGTTTCAGTTACTTGAGTCAATACCTTTCCTTTTAAATTTTTTGGCTTAAACTTGTTTTGCTTGGAATGTTATACTTGACCCAAAAAGTCTTCTTTGACACAAACAGAAATTCTTCTTATTATAATTATATAATTATTATAATGATACTTGGTGTGTTCTTGGAGGGTGAGAAGAAACTAAGTGTAACTGGAGCATAGGGCTGTGTGTGTGCAGAGCTGAGCCTATGTTAAGCACTTGAATATCTTAGCTACAGTAAGCTTAGCTACCCGTGAACAGCCTATGGGTTAACTAATTGCACAAGACTGGAAACATGTTCAGAGAAAGAGTGGGGCACCTGACAGTTATTGGAAGACCTCCAAAGAGGGAGGGAGCTTGCTGGGTGGCTGAATTTTTTAGGACTTGGGAAATGTGAGATTTGAGCCTGTTGGGAAGACTGTGACCTGGCAAGGAGCTGGGGGATTGTGCTGCAGGGAGCTGGTGAGCCATGCAGACAGAGGGCAATACAAATGTATGCAGGACAAAGGGAGTAGATGAGAGAGGAGGGGACGCGGGGAGCAGGCAGACCGGTCTGAGAGCTAACACCAAGGACTTTGGATCTAGCCTGGAAGTGGGGGCCAGGTCCTCTCTCCTCAGCAGCGCCTCATTATGGACGCACCGCACTTATTCTGTGAAGCAGGATTGTCAAGCAGTTGCTTGTGTGCTTTCTTTGATCTCCTAATGTGTCTTTCACTTTTCTACATTAGAATGTGATCTCCTTGGTAGGAAGCAGTTCTGTCTTTTATTTTTGTGCCATTTTAGCGTGGTGGTGGCTCACGCTCAGCCCGTGGACTGGTCTGCCTGGGTTTAAATCCTGGTCCAGCACTTGCCAGCCTTGACCCCTTGGGCAAATCACTCATTCTCTCAGTGTCTCAGTTTCTTATCTCTAAGATGGGAATACTAAGAGTATCTTTCTCAGAGAGGTGCTGGGAACATTAAATGAGCCAATACCTAGCACGTAGTAAGGCTATATAGCGTGAGCTATTCATTATTGTTATTATTTCCACTCTACAATGTTCACTGGAGAATATTAAATTTTTCAAAAGAGGAAGCCCAGGCAGAATGGTGAAGTGCCTTGCCTAAGGCATTAACTGACTGGGGGAGGATAAGTACATTTTTGCAGTCCAGGGAGGAAGCTTAACATCTCTAACCAAAACCTAGCTTGAGGGTGTTTGTGGGGGGATTTGGTTTTTCTCTTGACCCCCCTGCCTATTCGATCCTTTGGAGTTCCCTCATTGACATCACGTCTCTGGGGGTGCTGCTGGTGGGGCGGAGGCCCTGACTGGTTTAGCAGTGAAATGCCCCCTGGCTGTGGTCTTGGCTTGAGTTTCCTCTCCTCCTCAGGCTGCTTTTATTTTGAATACCAGGAGCATCTGTTTGCGGGGTTTCCAGCACTCCTGGGCTCTCATAGCAATGGGGTCTCACTGACGTACGGTCCCTCGTTACTACACGGAAAGACGATTTACCTAACAGATGGGCTCTTTTGAATATTTATGTCTGGACACATCTGTTCTGGACTTGAAAGTTTAATAAAGCTTTTCATTTTCTGAAGCGCTGGTGAAGCCTGTCTGTGGTGAGCTGACAGCCCCCCCGGGTCAGCTCCTCTGTGGTGACTCTGGGGCATGGGGTCCAGCTTGGGTCACCCCATTTGGCAGGCAGCCACGCTTTCCAAACCCCTCCTTCCTCTCCATGGCAAGGGACGGCAGGGCTGAGGGGCCAGAGACAGTTGGTGGGGTGCTAACTCAGTGGACCGGTTGAATATGTCCACAGAGAGGAAAGTAACAACAGTTATTTGCAAAAGGGAAAGTGTTTTCTTGCACTTTGTTCATCCTTGGGAAGACAGGTTCCCTGTGATTGGGTAAATGATGGAGCAGCCTCGCCCTGTCCAGGTCTTTGACCCTACAGCATACTGGGGGTCCTGGGGGTGTCTACGCGGATGTGTAGAAAGAAGGCTTGGACAACGATACTCTCCAAGCTGGGATATCAGGGCAGTTTGTCTTGAGTACCACAGCTTCTTAGTTCTTGCAGCCCATTTGGTCCTCTCCTGACCTTGGTGATATTCTTTAATGGCTCCACCCACAAAGGCCCTGTTCCAGTCCAAACAGGCCCCCAAGAAAGAATAATTAAGGAATATCAAAATATGCCATGCAAACATGCATTGAATTCTTACCTGTGCCCAGCACTGTGCTGAACTTTTTATCTTTATTATCATTCTGGTTATCATCGCAACACCAAGGTAAGAACTCTTATTACCTCAGTTTTCCAGATGAGGAAACTGAGGCACAGCGAATTTAATTGACTTGCCTAGAGTCACACAATTACTAAGTGGGGCAGCCAGGATTTGAACCCAGGCCATCTTACACCAAAATCTAAAGTGTCAATGCTTTATTGCCTGCTGATTGGAATCTGTCAGCCAGTATTTTCTAAAACGTGTTTTTCGGAACATAAGGTGCAATGATCAGGTAACTCCAAATGCTATTTCTCTTCAAGTGAATTTAAAATACACATCAATCTCATAAAGGCTCTGAGGAGTTCTGCTGTAAAGAAACTTTGCATAATGATATTTTCAGAATTTTTTAAGCATAAAAATTTCTTTTCCTTAATACCAATTAGCAAAGCTACTTTGGGAAACGTTATTGAAAATGAGAGTTGGCTTAAAGTCTTCTCTCTCCAAGGTACACTTGCTCTGAACAAAGTTCAAAACTTTAAGTCTGAGAAAGCAGGAGGATGGGAATGGGTAGAAATCATATTGATGGGATTTTAAGTATCATTAGGTAGAGAGAGTTTTCTTAAGGGGGAAACTTTAAAAAGCACTGGATTACTGCCTATATACATTTTTAATTTTTATTTCAAAACTGTTTTAAGCTTACTGAAATTTACAGAAATAGTACAAAGAACTCCTGTACATCCTTTGCCCTGAGACCCCACTCAAGTTTTGCCGATGTCCCAGAGACATCCTTTATAGCAATGGATCCGTGCGGGGGTCACAGGTAGCCCTCAGTCATTGTGTCCCTCTAGGTTTTTTCAATCTGGAACTGTTCCTCTGTTTTTCTTTGACTTTTATGACTTTGAAATTCTGAAGTAAACAGCACAGTTATTTTGTAGAATGTCCTTCAATTTGTGTTGGTTCATTGTTTCCTCTTGATGCGACCAAAGTTATGTATTTTGAGCCAAAATATCAGGAATGCTGGGTTCCTTCCATTGAAATCTATGGGTGGTAGGTACATGATGTCCATTTGACCTGCTACTGGTGGTATTAACTCTGATCCCTTGATTAAAATGGTGTCTGCAGATCGCTCTGCTGTAGAGATACCCTCCTCCCACCATGGCATTTAATACATGTCTTGTGGGAGGCATTTCGATATTGTGTAAAATCCCATCTCTCGCTCCACCTTAAACCACTAGTTGTAGCCTCGCTTGACGTTTCCTGCCTGAATTAATTGTTATTATGGTGGTTGTCAAGTGGTGAATTTCTAATGTCATGGCTCTTTCTGCATTTAGTAGTTGTCTTTCTACCACAAAGAAAAGCTTTCCTTCTCCCCATTTATTTATTCATATAAAAATGTATGTCCATGTATAGATTTATGGATTTCGATCTTTTTCAATGGCTATAATCTGTTAGTATAATAATTTATTTTGATGCCCTGAGTTTTCCAGATTTGGCCATTGGGAGCCCATCCAAAGTGGCTCCTATATTTTTGACATGTCCCCATCATTCTTGAAGCACTTCCTTACTTTTTGGCAGCACAAGATGTTCCAGGCTCATCTTCCACTTTCTCTGCCCCAGCCCTGGAATCAATGATTTCTCCAAGAAGCCCTGGCTCCTTTTAGTGAAGAATTAAATTTAGAAATGAAGATTCGGGTAATAGATGTGCTCGTTGCCAGTGGGATGTCACTGCTCTCGGGCCCTATCAATGGGTAGAGGTAGGGAGTTACACATTATATAATATATGTAAATT